CTTGTCTTTGTGGCCTACGAGCCGCTCATAACAAAGAGTAAGTTATTTTTACCCGTTATAAACTACTACTGTTTGATGAGAAATCAAATCATGGTTTGCTATATATGAATTCAGGGAAGAAAGGATAGGCCTACTAAGTATTTCCATTAAACTTTATTTTTAGAAATGTACAAAATGAACATAAATATACATATATACACGGTATATCATCCATTCCTCCTCCTTGCATCTTGCCTGCGCACAGCCGGTGCGGTGCCTTTTAGCACGACGCCTCAGTAGTAGTAGAAGTGCCTTTTAGCACGTCATGGATTGTCCGCCAGGATCTGGCTGGACGAAATCAAATGCAAATCACAAAATATTAGAGAAACTTAGTTGTTTTAGATTCGTTAGTAGTAGTTGTGTAATGAACAGCTTGCCTGCTAATATGCTAACCTAGCTTTGTTTACCTTGGTAGCTAACACGATATGAACGTTAGCTTGGAGGAAAGGCAACTATAATGCAGTGTAATAAAACTACTATGAACAAAAGCTAGTGGTTCATAATAGGCTAGCAATAACGTGTTTATAATTGCAATCGTATACGGGTATTCTGCTACCATACAACAGGGTTGCCAACTTTGGGTACCTGGCTGGAGTGAGATTTTGATATCATGGGTTTAATTCGGTTTAATTACACATATGCGCACGAAATGACTGCTATCGTGTCAGCAGCGGGACCTTAGCATATAGGATATATATACAATATATACAAATACACAATAATGGACACAGACTATAAAGGGCACACAGTTTTATTCACTAATGAAAGTCAAACATGTTTGTTTCCACTGTTTTATTGTGTGCCTGTCGCGATAAGCAATTAATTGACTTATCGTACGATAAATAAAAATGCACACACACAAACAAATCTACAGACTTACTCCAAACTGCCAAATATATTAATTAACACACTCTCAATCTCATATACTCTTTGACTTTATTTTGGCCTAGTAGAACAATAAGCAGCAGACTTTTACTTTTTTATCATTTCTACTGGATTTTAGATCTGCGCATGCGCAATACGGGTCGGCAGTTGCGGCTCCAGAGTATTTTTGTTGGGTAATCTATGGTAGGGCTAACCCATACAGTGGTGGGGCTCAAGTCAGTATTTGCAATGTAATTACATACACGCTCCCCCCGACAGTGAAACGCCACGCGTGAGGTTTAGATCATTTCCCTGTCTCAATCCAAATTGAACTGTATGAAATAAAAAGGCACATTTGTCTTGCAGTAAATAAAAAGGGCGACCTGGAGCCAATCCTGCAATTTCCCCACAGGTGAAAGAGTTGACATGCTGAAGACCCAACCCCTGCAGGGGGGTCTGGGGGGATTCTCCCCCAGGAGATTTTTTGAAATACTAACATAAAATACACATTCTGGTACTCTCTTGAGAAGAAAAATAAATAAATCTATTACTACACGACATATTTAAACAAATTAATTAATTTTAGTTTTTTGTTACTTTGTTCTGAAAGCTGAACCTGCTGCTCCTCACAGAGAGAAGAGGGAAGAGGCTGTGTGAATTACTTTACATTGTGGATAAGGGTGGATAGCCCCCATTGTTCTGTGTGTCAAAATGAAAGACAGCCCACACACCTATCAATCATCAAACCGTGGGGTCTTATTTCATTACGTGTTGATTTCTATCAACACGTAATGTTGTATCGATGTATAGAGATGTACTACCGCAAAAGTATTCTCCGTCGGGACTTCCTGCAACAACACCACGCCGTTATCGTGATTCTGATTGGCCAGAAGACATTATCAAAGATGTTTTATTGAGAAGATGATCACTACGTGACAAAAGTTTTCAAAACCATTTCTAGTCTTCGGTATTCTTGTTTTTGGCGTGAGAATAGTTTGGGCAGCGTGAGAGCGTGAGATTGAGAGTGAAAGCGTGTGTCACACGCCAGATGCGTGAGAGTTGGCAACCCTGCCATACAATGTAACTTGCATGAATACATTGTTTTGCGCTAGCATACAGCTAGCCTCGTTAGCTACATGCAGTATATGTACGGTCACAATGTACGGTAAATCACAGTACAGTATACTGTATGAGTATTCCGTGTGTGTGAATGCAGACATTCTCCTGCTATGAGATACATGTATGCAAGGCCATCTGCTGATATTAGAGTTGATATATGGAAACTCTAGCAACTTAGTTAGCACAGTTAGCACTGTGTCAATGGCTTAGCAGTCCAACACAGTTTACACATTTAAACAGTCTTGTTTGATAAATACACAAATAACAATGCAAACTTACAGGTTGTATACCCAGATCTTCCCCTGCTCCAAACGGTCCAAACAAGCTGTGCATATCCGGCCTCAAACTGGGCAATGTTTTGGAAGCTTTCGTCTGTGAAATGCCGGTTCTTCGAACCTCTGGAGGAGGAACACGCCGCTGCTGGTGTGGCCATAGCTCTTCGGGATTGGTCCATTTCGTTCCGGGTACCGCATGACATCAGGCGGTACCCGGAAGAATCAAATGGGCAGTGACGTATCTCCAACGAGGCGTTTTGGGGAGGTATTTTCTGTGTTAGAGTTTTACTCGCTACAGGGTGTACTTTGAGGGTTTTGACTCTGCACACCGTTTACATGCATAAAAACCTTCATAACACACAAGGGGACGGGTAATAACCGGAAAAGCATGACATGGGAGCTTTAACATGACCCAGCGGTCTAGTAGTTAATAAAAAACAATAATATCAAAACAAATTATTACTACTAACTTTATTGTGAAATTAAAATAGAACGGTAAAAGAATAGTTTCCGGTCTATTCTGAGGCCCGGGTTGCGGTCGAATAGTCCATTTAGCTTAGGAACCTTCCTAACGGAGTGAAATGACCCGGAAGTCCCTCAGTGGCAGCCATGATAAGTGCCGTTCGAATTCTCTAAATTAAAAGGAAAGGAGGTTTCAATCTTCCTTTATAACCTCCTTTAGCTTAGGAACCACTGGACCTCCCTAACCTAAAGGAGAGGAGAACATGCTGCCTCACAATGCCTTGCGGCCGCAGCATTTGCCGTCACACAACAGTCGGCCGTTCACGGAAACAACCGATTATGAACGAGAAATGATATCATGAAAGTTACGGTGCTTATTAAGCATTTTAAAACGTATGTGGTAAGTTGCCAAAGTGCTTTGTTTTGAACGTTCATCAGTATTATAATCAAAAAGAGAAATATGAACGTTAGTTTTTACTGAAATGATCAAATAAAGTCAACATTTCACAGTCTTTACTGAGCTGTGTGGGGTTTGTTCAACTTTTAAAATATGTTTGAATGGTGATATACACAGTGATAGATGTTAAGGACTAACGTTTATAATAAATACATTTGTATTGATTTTAAGATATTTTCATACAATCATACGTATTGGGATCATTTGTATTAATGTGGACCGGAGGGAGAGGGTGACGAGCATAAGTTTCACTTTCCTTTTTTATTTCAATTCCAACTTTGGTCATGAAGAATATGTTTCTCTGTTGTCCACGTTCATAAAGCATAAAACAACAGCATCAGAGCACGGTGCAGAGTCTCTAGATGAGTTTACAGTAGTCCCTCGTTCTTATTAAACATCCATGTTGTAGTCCGCTGTATAGAAAACTGTAGTTTCCATAGTTTCCCCACAGCAGCAGACGCACATTTATGACCTCCGCTGGCGCATCATAAACACGTCGGATAGTGAAAGTGCAGTCGGATTCTCTAAAGTACCGCAGTCTCTTCTCCTAAATCCTTTTGAATTCTCCTATCCACTATCCCTTAACCCCATGACGTTTCACTCCGAGGTCAAGGAATAGACGATAGGGTTAGAACTTAGGAGCTGTTTTTTATGGAGTATTCGACCGCAACCCTGATCTCTGTAGATAAATAAAGAACTACGACAGATGTGTAATGTTTAATGCAGCCAAACCATTCATTACAATGCATTCATGTGATGACTTTCAAAGAGTAAAGCAAGCACTGCTGAATAAAGTATGATTTGATCTTTTACGAAACGTTTTTTTCATATGGAATGCAGTTGGAGGTCAACCAATCACAGAGCTTGAGGCAAAGCGGAACAATAGCTGAGGATTCTGGGTAGTGTAGTGTCTTCGGCCATCCTAAACTCTGAACAAATATTTGTTTCTCCGAATCGAAGGGGAAAATTACAAAAGCATTATACACAATTTAAACCAATCAATGTTGTGTAATTAACAAGGATAATCTGGTGTTTTTGAGTTGATGAGTAGTGCAGATATCACTGTAAAATCAATCGACAGTAAGGAGAATACTTACTTCCGGGTGTAAAATCCTCCGTTATCCAATGGGAATGGACGCTCACATTGCTCTCTGCGTCCGTAATACAATAAAGGGGACATGATCAAATAGGAATATAATTATCTTTTAAATAATGTTAACTAAAGGGAACAATCTATTTGACACAGCTGAAGCTCTGGCCTTCCTTAAAAACTAACTCATTTTATTCTGCCCTTACGTATGCATCGCACTGCATAGGTTAACAGATAGCGAACAAAGACTCAGAAGACAGTTGTTGAGTTGACCATTTACTGAGGCTTGAAATTGTAAAACTGCAAGAATAAACAGAAAAATACAACACAAGTTACACAATTGAAATAATACATGTGCAACATAATGCAAATAGAGTGCAGTATAATCAACAGCCTATGCTAAGAATGAGCTATGTCCGTTAGCTTAGCAGCTAGTTAGCTTAGCTTATCTTAAACATTGAAACCACACAATCAATTAAACCACATTTTAGAAACACATAACTTGGCACACAGGTAAGTTTGTATACTTACAGACAGATCTACTCCAAGGATTAAAACAAATGATCTGTGGCATAGAACTGAGCTACGATGTGCTCTGTATGGCTTTGCTGTGTAAACTAAAACACAAGAAGGAGAGTCACGCTATTTGGTGCCTTAAAGCTAAAGTACCGACTTTTGCCACTAGGGGGTGCCAATACACTATGGTGTCAGAACACTCCCCGCTTGGTAAATCTTTTTACCACTATTTACATCTTTTTACCCTTGGTATCAGTAACACCACATCGCTGATGGGCCTAAGGTACCTTTTAGCTGTCCCTTGACCTAAGGTCTTCACCATGACCTTTCGCACCTTGCAGTCCGAACTTGGAATGGCCTTTACTATCAGACCAAGAGGCCAGTCATTACGTTGTGCTTGAACGTCCTTTAACAAAACAACGTCACCGTCCTGGAGATTAGGCTGCTCCTCGGTCCACTTCCTCCGAGGCTGAGGAGTTGCCAGATACTCCTGCTTCCACCGTTTCCAGAAGGAGTTCGCCAAGCTCTGGACCTGGCGCCACTGTACCTTACATAGGTGATCCAGTTCAAAGTCCCCCGGGGGTGTGGGTGTCACACTCGCCTTCTGGGTTAGAAGAGTAGCAGGTGAGAGTATCTCAGGAAGGTCTGTATCCAGTGGCGGCCGGTCCATAGGGGCGCTAGGGGCGCTAGGGGCGCCGCCCCACCTCTTCCCATATTGAAAAAAATAAAAATAAATAATAATTAAAATTAAAATAAAAAACAAAAAATATGTTTAAAAAAATATATATGTTTTTATTTTTATTTTTAATGAACAAGGTAAATATTATATAATTGGTATCAGTAAAATGTATAATCTACAATAAAATCTCGTTTAAAATTGTGTTACGATGTCTAAAGTTACTGATAAGTCACATGTTTCCTGCCTGGCCTTGCCCATGCACCTTCTCTCGTCTGGGCGCTAAGAGAGGAGCCTTCAACCAGTGCAGCAGCAGCCACCAGCAGCTGACTGTTGCTATCTGTAACGTGTAAACTATGCCGCGAAAATATAATTTCAGCCAATCAGCGTCGTCAAAGATGACGGTCACCGGGCGCCAATGTCAGCGCCCAGTGCAGTCTGTGAGTAGTTTGGACAGTGACTCGTATCCGGTTGACGCAGTAGTTGATGAGGATGGCTTCGTGTGCAGGTGGAGTCTCCGGACCTCGGTCCCCGGCTAATTCTGTTCAAGAGCTAATCTCCAATCCTTTCGAAAGGAGAAGTTTGGCAGATAAATTGTTGCTTAACCTGTTTCACGCCTTCCCCCCGGTACCGGGCGGATAAACACGTCATTTGCAGGAAACAACGTCTAAGGAATCTTAATATTGAATAAAACTATGAATGTGTTATATCCATGTAACGGGAAGAAACTCAGCTAACTGATCTTTTTAATTTTTTTTTTCAAAAAAAACCCACAATGCTAGCACTCAGCCTCTGAATTAGCCTCGATCGAAAAAACGGGACCGACAAAGGCACATAAACTCACTCAGAACTCCCTTATTACTTATCCTAGATGCACAACCAAACACTATTTTTTGGTGTCCTGGAGACACTGAATCTAACGGTGCCCACCTCAACACTCAGTGATAAACATTCGCGACGCTATCAACGAAAGCGTACATCATCACATGTGGAGCCAAGAAGCTAAACATATAAATATGGCTTACCTTGGTCAAAAGTGGTCTTCAATGGCATTAAAACGATAAAAAAACGATGCTGCAGTTAATCCATAGGTTCATCCTATGTGTCTGTGCCTTCTTTGAAATTATTTCTGATAATCCATAAGCAATACAACTGCGTTTTAGTTTCCAAACTCCAGAAGGAGACATTCCTCCAGTTTAGTTTCGCTTTCCACACGCGAAGCGGCAACATTTTTTCTTTACAATGTGTGTCTATGTAGGTATCCTCCTTCGATTCTATTGGCTCTAACGGTCACAAGGGTATGTCAACCAACCAGATCGAGCAAGGGGGGCCAGAGATAGGTCAAATCCACCCAAATGACCCCAGATGGCCCAGTTTTTGGCTAAATCTCTCTAAAAAGGTCAAATTTCACTTGTTTTGCATCAATCTTGATACAGGGTACTTATTATATGTTGTACTTTGGATTCCTAAAGCTTTTAGTCTACTAACCCATCATCCAAGGGTAGTTTTCACTATCTGTAAAAAATAATTTTTGGACGGACACTATAATTTACAGTTTTTTACTATGTAAAATCTGAATTTTCTTTAAAATAAAAAACATTTATATTGATTCTGACACTTCTACATCCAACTCACAGGTTTATCATTACTTTGAGAAAAGATTATTAATTTAACCCTTTTAGAAGGGAAGATATGGTCATTTGTTCTGGGAATGTCATTTTCGAGCCTGAGACCTGAAAAACAGGCTCAGAGTGGAACAGGTTAAAGACCTTGCACCGGACCAACCCGATTTGAATATATCGCAGCAATCTCGTGAAAAAGACAACATTTATACACGAGGCTTCACAAGTAGCTGGTACACAAGAAAGGCTTGGCTAGCTGGATGCAAACAGGTAAATGCTGTCTTTTGTTTCCCATGCTTGGATATCACTTTATATGTAGAGAGGAGGTTTCCCATGGTTGTTAGAAGTTTATTAATAAGTGGGCATTTATCACAGAAGTGATTGTTCTGTCTCCACGTTTGTTGCATTGTCTGTGATGTATTTTCCAACGGTTATAGCTCCTGTTCTGTCCCAGCAACACTACACGGTTTGCAGCTCCACCACATTTTTGGTTTATCTTCGGTGTCGCTTAAAATCTGCTTCCCATCGGACTAAAACCTCCACGTAATCTGAAGACAGATACTTGAAGTTATTTAAACCTTTTGCAAACTTTATGTTCTTTCTTGCTCTAGCCTTGCCAGTTACATTGTACATAACACATATATTATCATTATGCTAACTGGTTGTTCGTGTTAGACGATGTAGCTTTTTCATTTCTGAGTTATTGCTATATGTAAATAAGCCTGTTTGTAAATAATCCTCAGAGAAACAAAGAAAAAACACAATTTATGACATTTTGTGCTGTGGTTATTTTTTTTAAATTGCATTTATTCACAGTTCAGTTTGAAATGCTGTAGTGACTTGTATTGAACCACTTAAATATTTATAATTAATGCTACTGAAAAGATGCTATTAATTTTATATCTCACATGCAGTTCACTGTAAAGCTACTTGGTGAAGGTGTTGGTTCATAAAACATGAACAGTTTTAAGAAAGAAAAAAACAGACCAGTTCTGAGAACACAAATTCCTGGTAAAGTAGTAGATGTTCAGGTTGATAAATAATATTTTCCACACTGAAGATTATGGAGGTATTGATCAGTCTTCTCATATTTTTAAGCCTCGATTTCTCCTTTCCCCCCCCCCTCTAACATCACCAGAAGTCATCATTTAAGGGGTCATTTCTTGAAAAAAAATTTCGGGGGGGAAACCCCCCGGACCCCCCGGGTAGGTCACTTACGGTACGTCAAGAGCCCCACCAAAAAAAAAACACCGGCCGCCACTGTCTGTATCATAAGAGATGGGAACCAGAGGCCTGGCGTTCATGATGGCCATAACTTCAGCCATCAAAGTGGCCAGGACTTCATGGGTCAGTTTATCCTTATTCTTCAACAGCAGTGCATCAAGGACCCGTCGAGCCACACCAATCATCCTCTCCCAAGCTCCACCCATATGTGAGGAATGAGGTGCGTTAAATATCCATGTACAACCATGGTCTTGCAGATAGTCCTTGATCTCAGGATCGTCCGTGTTTATCTGAAGCTCTCTGCATGCTCCAATAAAGTTTGTGCCTCTGTCTGACCTGAGGTGTTTGACAGGTCCACGAATCGACAGGAAGCGCCTCAAGGCATTAATGAAACTTGAGGTGGACATGGTTTCAATAACCTCCAAGTGAACAGCTCTCATACTGAGACATGTGAAAATGACTGCCCATCTTTTACTCTCAGCAGCACCACCTCTTGTGCGACGAGTTATCACACTCCATGGACCAAAGACATCAAGCCCTACATGTGTAAAAGGTGGATCCATGGACAGTCTGTCAGCAGGCAGATCGGACATTTTCTGAACCTCAAACTTGCCTCTCAACTTCCTGCAGATGACACATTTGAATATTATACTCGAAATGAGCCTCTTCCCTCCTACTATCCAGACACCGGCAGTGCGCAGTGCGCCCTCTGTTAAATGGCGACCTTGGTGAGCTGCTTGATCATGATAGTGTCGGACTAAGAGAGTGGCAACATGATGACTGGCTGGCAGGATGAGTGGATGTTTCTCTTGGTCTTCCAATTGGGCTTTATGGATGCGACCCCCAACTCTCAGCAATCCATCCTTGTCAAGAAATGGGTCCAGTTTCACAAGAGAGCTGTGGCTATGAACATTAATGCCCTGAGTTGCGCAGTCCACCTCGTTCTTGTAAACATCCTGCTGCACTGCCTTCAAGATGATTGTTTTGGCCTGAGAGAGCTCTGAGGTGTGTGACTGTTTGCAGTGATGCCATCCATTGCACTCTACAGTGTGAGACTTGCTGGAATAGGACTTGGCTACATGAATGAGTGTTGCCATACCTCTTACTAGAGCCTTCCAAGTAGAGAAATGTTTGAACCGTTGTGATTCGAGACTCTGCTCTGTGACCTTGGTTGCAAGAGAGATAACTTGAGGATACATTTCTTTATCAGTCTCTGGTTGCACAAGTTCAAATGATTCAGTCTTATTTTCTTGCTCTGTATCTGTCTGACGGAGAAATTGAGGGCCAAAGAACCAACTGGATGACATCAGACAAGCTGCTGGTATTGGCCTTGTTCCGTGGTCAGCAGGGTTCACTTCAGTTTTCACATAGAGCCACTGTTCTGGGTTAGTACTGTTCCTTATGCGAGCTACTCTGTTAGCTACGTAGGTGTAGAACCGCCTTGAATTGTTGTAGATGTAGCCAAGAACAACGCGACTGTCCGTGAAGAACCTGACTGCCTTCAACTCCAAGTCAATCTCAGACTTGATTAGTTCTGCCAGTTCAACCGCCAACACTGCCCCACACAGCTCCAGGCGAGGTATGGTGTGCAATGGGTAAGGTGCTAGCTTTGATTTGCTCATCACAAAGCCTACATGCCATTTCCCATCAGAGTCAAGAACACGTAGGTATGCTACGGCAGCAATTGCCCTTGTAGAAGCGTCTGAGAAAACACAAAGTTCTGTTCGTTTGCAAGATGACATTGAGACCGGGGTATATGGTCTTGGTACTTGAATCTGTTCCAGCTCAGTTAAGGAGTCAGTCCAAGCTTTCCACTGAGCTTCCTTCTCTGGTGGGAGTGGGACGTCCCACTCGTACTGCTCTGAAGAAAGTTCTCTTACCAAAGCCTTGCCCAGGGGATCAAAGAGACTGTTCACAGTGGACAGTATGCCTCGACGAGTGAACGGTTTAATGTCCTGTGAAACTTTAAAGGTGAAACTGTCATTATTGAGTTCCCAGCTTATGCCCAGACTCCGTTGGAGAGGCAAAGGGTCGGCTCCCAAATCCAGATCTTTAAAGTCGCTTGTTCGTTCTTCAAGAGGAAAGGCCTCCATGACCCTGGCACTGTTTGAAGCTATTTTGCGAAGCCTCAAATTGGACTCAGCCAGTAGGCTCTTGGTTCGCTGTAGCAGATCAATGGCTTCATCTTCTTTTGACACTGAAATTAGTCCATCATCGACATAAAAGTTCCTGAATACAAACTCCTTTGAGTCTGTGCCATGTTCAGTTTCCCCTTGCTCTGCAGCCTTTCTCAGCCCGTATGTTGCTACTGCTGGTGATGGACTGTTCCCAAACACGTGCACTGTCATCCAGTAGTCAACAATCTCGTTATCTGGGTCGTTGTCTCTGTGCCACACAAACCGCAGGAAGTTGCGATGGTCCTGTGTGACCTTGAAACAATAGAACATCTGTTCTACGTCAGCTGTGACAGCTATTTGCTCCCTTCTGAATCTCAGTAGGACCCCAATTAGAGTGTTGTTGAGGTTGGGTCCACTGAGGAGAACGTCGTTCAATGACACTCCTTTGTACTGAGAGCTGGAATCAAAAACCACTCTTATTTTCCCTGGTTTTTGCGGGTGGTAAATACCGAATGTAGGCAAATACCAGCACTCTTGTCCATGCTGCAGTTGTGGAGCTGGCTCGGCTTGGTGGTTGTCAATGACCTTCTGCATGAAGTCAAATAAATGCTCTTTCATGTCTGGTCTCCTTCTGAATGAGCGCTGGAGAGAGGAAAGACGCTGCAAGGCATGTTCCCTGTTATTAGGAAGGGGCTTGCGGGGGAAGCGAAAGGGCAGTGGTGCCACCCAGTGGTTTTCATCATCCATATACACCTCGTTTTCCATGATTCGGAGAAAGACCTTGTCATCCACAGACAGGGCTGGTTTGTCGTCATCAGGTGTTTTTCGAAACACACTTTCTCCTATACAATCTAAACTTCCATTAAGGACGTTTTCCAGGCTGTGAGATGGGGCTGGAAGATGATGCTTGGCTGGACCATTTAACCTTTCCTTCACCTGAATGCTGTTCGTGCACGGCTTAAGAAAGGATGGGCGTCCATTTTGAAGGACATGGGTCTTGTAGACGTTGACATTGTTTGAATTGTGAGTCCCATCCAGGCATATTTCTCCAACTATGACCCAGCCAAGGTCAAGGCGCTGGGCGTAGGGGGAGTTGTGAGGCCCGTTACACTGTTCACGCACCTTATGTAGACGCAGAATGTCTCTTCCGAGCAGAAGGAGAATAGGAGCATTGGTGTCGAGGGGAGGAATCTTGTCAGTCACTTGCCTGAGGTGTGGAAAATACTGTGTGATCTCCGGAGTGGGAATCTCTGACCTGTCGTCAGGCAAGTTGTTACATTCCAACAGAGGAGGGAGTGCTGCTTTAGTTTTCCCATCAAGTGACTCCACTATAATGTTGCATGCTTTTCTTCCTGCTGTCTCCACTTTGCCTGAGCATGTTGTTAGAGTATAGGGAGATGCATTGCCATTCAAGCCAAACAGATCGAAGAATTGTGATTTTGCTAACGACCGATTACTTTGATCATCCAGCACTGCATACACTCTGTGTGACTTGTTGGGATAATCAGCCTGGTATACATTCACCAAGCAGATTTTCGAGCATGATCTGGGCTTGGGAGCACCACAGCAGATTTCTGTACACATGGAAGTTACTTCAGGTGGCCTTTGTCCTCCAGACTCACCGCTTTGCTCATTCTCAGGTCTGAACATACCAAACGACCAAGGAGCTGGACCAGGATGCATGGCTGAGGTATGTTTGTCACTTTCGCACTCCTTGCATTTAAGTGTTGCCTCGCAATCTTTGGCAATATGCTTTGTGGATTCACAACATCAAAAGCAGATGGATTTCTCCTTTAAATAGGTTATTCTCTCATCAAGGTGTCTTCCTCGAAACCAACGGCATTTTGACAGTGGATGAGGCTTGTTATGCACTGGGCATTGTTTGTCTGGCTCTTCTGTCTTGATAGCTGAGCTAGACTGTGAGGCAGAAGCAGTCACTTCAGTTTTCCTAACTGAAACAGCTGTTCTCGGAGTGTATTTAGGTGTTCTATCCACTCTAATGTCACTTTGGGAAGAGGAGAGACTGAATGTAAAACTTGGATCATTTCTGATCTTTGCCTGGGCACATACACATTTCACAAAGAAGCTGAAAGGTGGGAAAGGCACAAGATAATCTTCCTTATACCTGGAGCCTTGCGTTACCCAGCGCTCTCGTAGGCTGTAAGGAAGCTTTTCCACTATTGGATTAACACCTCTTGCAGTGTCCAAATATGCTAGGCCAGGCAGTAATCCACCAGGTTTAGCGGCATCTATCTCCAGTAGCAAGTCACCTAGCTCTCTGAGCTGGTGGATGTCTTTGTTTGAGGTGGTTGGAAATGTCTCTATTCGTTTTAGAAGGGCATTTTCGATCACCTCTGGGCATCCATAACATTCCTCTAAGCGCTGCCATATCATATTGACACCTGCTGTGGGGTTATGAACGTGCACTGACCTTATCCGCTTTGCATGTGCTGCTGACTCCGGTCTGACAAGGAGGTTGAGCTCTTCGTGGTCAGACAGATACAGCTCCCTTGTAACTGCTTGGAATTATGATTTCCATGCCCAGTAATTTTCTGGACGATCATCAAAGGCAAGGAGCCCAGAACTCACCATCTCTTTTCTCACGAGATACTGAGCAAGATCAGGAGTATGAGGAGTTGGAGCTGAGTAGTTATTTGGAACGAATGCTGGAGAGACAGGAAGCGATGCATAGTGTAGGTCCTCAGTGGGGTTTTGCTCATCTGCACCCTTGTGTGGCCAATTAATGCCCTGCTGTCCGTTGTTGTGAGAAGTGAGTTTCTGTGTTTCCACGTCTTGAAACTGTTGGTGAGTGTTTTGTAAAAATGAATGTTTATCAATGTATTCTGTTGTGCGTCTTGCTGGATCCTCCTGAGCTAAATCCTGTAACTCACCAAGATGTCCTTCTTCCAAATCTGCTGCAGCTGCTTCAAATATGGCTGCCTCTTTAGATGCGGCCACAGCTTTACTTTCCAGCTTCAAAACATAAAGGTTTGCCTCCACCTCTGCTTTCTGCCTCATCATGGCTGCCTCCACCTCTGCTTTCTGCCTCATCATGGCTGCCTCCCTTTCTGCGAAGGATACCTTTATCCTTTATACTATATATACTATACTATATATTTTGCTTTAATAAAAAATGTTGATCACAAAAAAAAGGGTTATTTTGCGATTTGGCAAATCTGAGTCTGCTGTTGACTCGTGCATGAGGACGAGTCTGCTGGATCTCTGGATCTGCTGCTATATACGGCTCCGAGTCCGCACGAGTCTGCTCTGCTGTGTGTTGCACAGTGAGTCAGGATTTGCGAATGTGAGTCTGCTGTTGACTCGTGCATGACGACGAGTCTGCTGGATCTCTGGATCTGCTGCTATATGGTTACGGCTCCGAGTCCGCACGAGTCTGCTCTGCTGTGTGTTGCACAGTGAGTCAGGATTTGCGAATGTGAGTCTGCTGTTGACTCGTGCATGACGACGAGTCTGCTGGATCTCTGGATCTGCTGCTATATGGTTACGGCTCCGAGTCCGCACGAGTCTGATCCGCTGTGTGTTGCAGCGAGTCAGGATTTGCGAATCTGCGAATCTGCGAGTCTGCTGTTGACTCGTGCATAATATAGCGCGGGTGCTGGAGGAGGGGCTATGCTCGTGCACATGACGAGTATGGATCGCTGGATCTGCTATGCTATTACGGTTAGGAGCCGTCGGCTCCTCTGAGTCCCCACGAGTCTACAGGAAGTTTCACTGATCCGCGTCCCCTCCCCTGAGCCAAACGATAACTTCTGGCAGGCAGCTATCCTGTATACTTGCTAAAGGGTAGGTAGATGGACTGGGGTACGTTGTAATGTGATTTTACATGTTATAAAGAGAGTAGCGAGTGACGCAATTTATAGTTTTAATTTGTACGTCACACCAAGTGTGGGACTCAAGGACTCGGGTTAATGGAGAGGGGAGACTCGTCACGACCAGCTCATTTCTAGGATCCGGGTTAATGATCCGGATGAATCAGGACTCGCCCATCTCTAGTGTTAAGGAGTCGTGGTGGAGTCACGCATTCTGGTGAGACCAGGTTGCAACCAGCACATAGAGCGAAATGAGGCATGGCTAAAATGCATGATCTGTTTGGTATTTTGAAAACAGAAACGTATAAATATACCTTATATAGGTATGGCCCTATATATCATTTAAATATAGCATGATAGGTCCACTTTAATGTATATTGGTTTTCTAAAAATGTTTATGGAAATCACAAGTGATTTGGTGGGAGTGTAACTGTCTTCACTCTCTGTTGTTTATTTTGTTCAACGTTGTATTTTTGGTTCCTACCTTTTATGTGCAACATTAATAGAGGCGGAACTAATCTGCGGTGTTTTGTGTTACACCTGTTTGTTTAATCGTCGCACTTGATAGAACTGCAGAGCAACGCAGAATGTAAAGAAAATGTAAGGAAACTAAGGGAAAAATGCAGTTAAAGATATCAGCCCCTCTAGATGACAAGCAGCCTACGAGGTACGTTTTTGTGCTGGTTGTTTGTCTAAATGTGTGTGGTTGAGCTGCAGGTTATATGTATGTATGTATGCTATGCGCTAGCTTTTGCTACATGCTATTGTTAGCTTGTGCTACATGCTGTGTGGGATATGTGTGCCGTTTATTGTTTTATTTAGCGGCATTAACAGTGATGACATGCATTTATTCCATATTTATTTATTGTTGACCTTTCATATATTTTTTGTCTTACAACCCAGTTCTCACGGGTTGGAATAGGTCCCACAAAATAAACCCCGTATTTAAATCAAGACCTCAGCCTCGTGTCATTACTGGAGGGAGCTACAACCTTATAACAATATCTTTCCAAGGTCACGTCCCTCACCCCTCCCCTAACACACACACACACACACACACACACACACACACACACACACACACACACACACACACACACACACACACACACACACACACACACACACACACACACACACACACACACACACACACACACACACACACACACACACACACACACACACACACACACAGTGGGACTCGATAAACATCTCCCAGAGTCCTCAGCTCCTGTCTCACCTTTTCTGTACATACCTACTGATTCGTCCATCTCTCACATTCTGTTTAGTCTGGTTCTTTCTACACCCCCCGTCATGCTGCTGTATTTAGTTTCCTCACCCTCGTAGCCTCCCTCACCTCTTTGAGTGGTTACATAACACATAATCAGGGCCATTCATTGGCTCAAACCATTCCTCTTTACTTCTCCAGGTGTTCCTGCCTGTGTACATGACATAAGCTGCTGCTCATAACCAATTGCCCCTTGCGGGATTAATAAAGATGTTGGTTGATTGATTGATTGATTGATCCAATCTCACACTTGTCATAGCTTTTCAACTGCTGCACCATTTCTCTTGAGATACCAATCTCTACCTTCAAAATGTGAAACTGTGTCTTGTTACAGCAGATGACAGACTCCTTCATCTCACCATTGACGGAAACACGTTGTAGCATTTAGCTCTGCCAAACCAGTTTCCTTCAAACAAGCGAGAGGTTTTTCTCACCGATTTTCTTTTTTCTCTTGAGAAATCTGAACAGATGCTAAATCTGGAAGGTCATGTAGAGTTTGTCCTGTTTGATGTTATCCAGAGATGATTTATCGTTCTTTTTCTCCCTTGTGTATCCAAACTATGCAATGTTTCTTTGAAAAATACAAAGTTTATGTAACATCAACAATAACTCATATAATTGTTGCATAAAACCAACAAATGTAATTTGCTTCTTCATGAGTCTGTAGGTTTAGTTTGATCAGATTTGATTGGCAGCAATACTCATCATCATGATTTAAATGTTGCTAAATCCTGATTGGTGCACAGAAATATATGACATCACTCAGTACAACCCATTTTAATGTAGAGTGTAGAACAAAAGAAAATACAGAAAATCTCTTCTGAAATCAATGAAAACAGTTTGAAACGTGCTATTTTTGGATAGGATCCTGATAACGTGCTCACATAAGAAATAATGTGATTATAGTAAACAGCTGATGTGTTCTGAGGCCTGTACTACGAAGCTGGTTCAACCTAACCTGGATATGTTTGAGTTAGCCGGTTGGCCCAATCCAAAACATACGCGCTCTGGCTAAACTGTACTACGACGCTGGTTATCAAGTGGATCGCTCAAGCCAGCCGTGTCCTATCTAGTTAGGTGCGCGTTCACATGAAAGGGGTGGTATTTGGAGCATTCGACCAATCTCAAACACGGACAAGCGTACTGACAGCGCAGCGTCATACTTCCTGAATGAAAAGTGAACTTTAATATTAGTCAAATATGAAGAAGTTAAACTTTAAACATCCATGACTTAAACACTTTATCCAGGATAAAAGCCACATAGCTGCACCTGCAAGGTGAATACAGCTGGTAAAAGAAAAAGTGTTTGAATGCGTACATTAACAGGTTTATGAAATCACTGCCCCGTCCAAGACACGAGTGGATCTGACTTTAATTAGGAGAATTTGACTCGAGTGTTTCATCAACTTAATGTGTTGCTTAAAATAATACTTCTGCATACAGTATGTGACACTGTGAGTGTTGCACGGCCAGATACGGCTCAGCTGACTCAGATAAGGAAATATATGATACATTATGATGTGATATGATATGAATGATAATGGGACACATCGACGTCTGCACTCACAGTGCCGCGGACTGAACTTAATGTTACTCTGATCCGGTTACTTATGTCGTGGCAGATATTTAAGTAAGCTTTCTTAACGCTAATATTATAATAGTCAGATTGCTCTGAAGATGGGAGGGGATATTCTATTAATTTTCCCGTTCACACAGTCAGTTGATTTTGGCCGGCCGTCTTTCCTGCAACGGCAGTTTTTCTGTATTTCCTCTATCCTGTAATATGAATTGATCGCTTTAAACTCCGCACACGGAGCTCTGATTGGTCAGCAGGCAGTGCTTTCACTGAGTTGATCTCTTAGCCTGCCACCTAACCTGCTCCGGAGCAGGTTTGCCGCTCAGCATAAGTTACCATGGAAATCTAGCCTGCTAAAAAGAGAACCAGCGTCGTAGGACCGGAAAGCCAGAGATTTCCCTGAAGTTAGCCGGCTAAGCGAAAATCCAGCTTCGTAGTACAGGCCTCTGGTGTTTCATTTTTGAAAAACACCAGAAGTACTAACAGAATCAGTAAGCTCTCTGCAGACACCCACCTTTCACGTCCGTCCTTTTATATCTACCTTTTCATCTTGGCCGTTTCATCTCGGTGGCAGCATGAATCATCACAGCTACACCTCTGTGTCACTTTGTCCCAGAAAAGTGGGTGCCAAAGAACTTCATCAGTGTCAAGGGTGTGTTTCAACACCAACCTGATTCCATTAATGACTTCTGGCTCTGTTCATTAAAGAGATCATTTGAGATTGTCGCAAGATGGCAGTATGGCGAACATGTTGCCCTTTGAGGGTGAACAGACTGTCATTAAGGCCTCGCCATGAGCCCCAGGAAACAGGCATGCAGAGCTATTTATAGAGCTGTCTCAAGGAGTCAATAGTGTAGTGTAAATGTGCCCCTCGGGGGGGAAAGGGATGGCCTGTTTTAATGGCTGCTTTACATTTATAGCAGCACGACATCCAGTATCACATTTCATTTTAAAAGTCTGCGAGTATAATAATAAACTAATGTAATAGGTATGAACATGAGAAATTGTATTTATTGAGTGGAGAAAAAAAGAGAAAAATATGTGTTTTTTTTTTAGAATCTTGAAATTGGGTTCGCTTAAAATATGTAATTAAGACTTCTACTGGTGATTTAGGAATTGCTAAAATTGGAATGTCCACTTAAGAGGCCCCTGTGCTTATTTAACAGTGTCATTTTTACAATTATACAACCGCTTCCATCTATTCCCTTGTTTAGGCTTCATAACAAACTGGCTTGCCCCTGCCATTGCCCTCCATCTTTGATCTGCTCAAACGGCAAGTAGGTCAGGGAGCACTGGGAGCGTTTGAAATGCCAATAGGTTTGCACTATTTCGTTTCCTAACAGGGCACACAAACACC